TGGAGATAACATCCAGTTGCTCATCTTTCATCTGGGGGTGGGGATCATTAAATAGATGATTCTCACCAGAGATACTTTTTCATAGTACAGATATTTATTTTATGAGATTTCACAATTTACTGTATGTTATTGTGGTACATTTGCCAGTAGTTTGAGTATTTATAACATAATTTTTGTTTGTATCTTGGGAATCACATGTTCAAACAGTTTTATATAATTTCTATAAAGCATGATTTAACTTCAGCAATTCATTGAATTGAATACAGGTCTCCTAAATATATTCATTTGATGGTTCTAAAATTTCCATTGATACATATCCTTGAAACTTTTTATATAATAAGAATCCCATGTTTAGAGAAGAGTTTTGGGCAGTTATTTTTCAAGACACACATTTTAATGTCCAGTCTAAGTCTTCACTATTGTATCCATTTCCTATATAAGAAGGTAGAATATATATGTATATATATATATTTATAACAAACATATCTTCTTTTCCTGGATATTTTAATATTTTAATATATATATATTTCTAATTACAAAGTTAACATATTGTCTTAGTCCATTCAGGCTGCTCTAACCAAACACCACAGACTGGATGGCTTAATAACAGACATTTATTTCTCACAGTTCTGGAAGCTTCAAGTCTGAGATCAAAATACTGGCCAATTTGATTCCTGCTGAGAGCTCTTCCCGGCTTGTGGACAGTTGCCTCCTCTCTATTTTCACATGGTGGAGAGAGAGTGAGCTCTCTGATGTCTCCTCTTATGAGGACCACTAATCCTATAAGATCAGGGCTCCACCTCTATGACCCCATTTAACCTTAATTACTTAGTCCAGATGCAGGCATACTGGGGGTTAGGACTTCAACATATGAATATTTAAGGGACACAATTCAGTCCATAGCACATATGCTCATTAAAACAATAGGAATATAAGAGGTAGAAAATGAACTGTCCCATAATCTCAACCCATAGGAGATGACCTCTCTTGATCATTGTTCAGATCCTTCCATGTTTTCCAGCATGCATATTTTTCTGTGTGTGTTTGTGGGGGGGTACAAATAAAGTATGTGTTAATATTTATGATGATACTTTACAAATTATTCTGTATTTTTCCCATATAAAATGTAGCATGTAAAATCTTTCTAGATGAAAACGTGTATATTCATTCTTTTTAGATGCCACATTAACATTCTATTGTATTAATCTACCACATGGATTGAACCATTCATTTTTTTCTTGTGCTGTCTCTTTAAGGGTGGGGACTCAGTTTCCTCTCACCTTTCCATCTCTCCCAGATCCCAGCCTGCTAATTTTTAAAATTCCGGGTTTTAAGTTCCACTGGTTATAAGAACTCATGAAATTCAGCTCCTCTGGTTTTCAAAGCCAAATGTTATGGGGATTCATCCTTCCCGTGAGGGCTTCCTGGTGTGGGGGTCTTCCCTCTCCTTTCTGGCACTGTCCCTCCCTCCTGCAGACTGTTCGTGAGTCTGTTTAGTTCCAGACCATGTCTCAACCCTTTCTGCCACGTCTCTTATTATTAGGATACTAAATTATTGTTTATATATTTTCAAAATGTTGTCTTTTGATTTTATTTATACATCATTAAGTAAATTAAGGAATACATGAATGAATAAGAGATCAAAACTGTTAATTAAAATACATGTTATACTTATGATAAGCATGTGTATGCAGGCCACTGTGGGATCATAGAAGGTGGATCTAAAGCAAAGTAGAGGGTATATGCAGGTCACCTACACCAGGCAAGACTTGAGCTGTGCTTCAAAATGTGACTAGAAGTCAGAGAAGATGAAGAAGTTGTTCTAGGAAGAGGATACAGCTATCCAAATGGAAAAGAGCAAGGTCTATCCTGGAAATTATAAATAGTTCACTGTGTCTGGAGCAAAAAGGGCTGTACAGAGATGGGCTATGGAGGTGGAAAGGGCTCATTTACCAACAACTTGGTCAATATAGAGAAGGCATTTGAACTTCACCCTGAAACTCTGGGGAGGCACCAACATGTCTAGACTTGGATTTTAGGAAGACTATTCTAATACAAGTATGAAAAATGGTTCAGAAGGAGTCCTCTGGAGTCAGGAAGACCAAGTTGTGGTCTAGTTGAGGCAGACATTAATTTTTTCATTGTCATCATCAAGAGTGGAAAATGAAACCTTTAAACAATTTCTCTGTAGGAGTGCCTGGGTGGCTCAGTCGTTAAGCGTCTGCCTTTGGCTCAGGTCATGATCCCAGGGTCCTGGGATCGAGCCCCACATCAGGCTCCCTGTTCCGCAGGAAGCCTGCTTCTCCCTCTCCCATTCCCCCTGCTTGTGTTCCCTCTCTCGCTGTGTCTCTCTCTGTCAAATAAATAAATAAAATCTTTAAAAAAAAAAATTTCTCTGTAACTGGAACTGAGTCAACTCTGGAAGAATACATACCTGGGGAGTGGGGATGACTGGAGGGGAGAGGGACTTTTCATTTATTTCTCAAGGGAGACACTTTTGTATTATTTGAGTTCTTTTTTTAACCAAGCATAGACTTTAATAATAAAGAATTTTTAAAGCTCATCAATAACAGGTGGGAACAATCTGACATGGAAATTTATGTGATAATTATCGAATGCTTTGGTGGATCACCAAATCAGTATGAACCCAAATTTTAATATGGCTGTGATAGCTGTTGTAATAATACTTGGTTACATTAATATTTTATAAGTATTCTAATAAAGAGTGTTTATACTCTTTTTTGTAATAGTTAGATTGTAGCTGGAACCATGTGTTCACCAATCAACTTGGAGCATGTTCAGGAGAAATGAACCATGAGTGAAAGGACTTAAAATCATGTTAGATAAGGAACGGCTACAGAAAATGGGGACACTCTGCCCGGAGCAGGTCAGACAAGATATTTGACCTCAGTTATTGATGACTTGTTATGCCAAAGAGAAGTAAAACATATTTC